CTATGTGGATAGGTTCTCTTCCGCAGGTTGAGGAGGAGTCCAGGGACTGTCCTCTCGAGATGTCTCCCTGATACGCAGCAGCAATACAGTAACTGGAAATTGAATCGTCGAGCCTCAGAGTAGCTTCCAAAAACACGGACTAGGGGTAGTTCTAATGAAGGGCGTGCACATCCTCAAAGAGACAACTATGAAAGAGTAGTGATAGCAATTAATAAAGGAATAAATAGAGAAATATTTTGGGAGGAGTATTGCATGAGGACTCAAAATTTCAAAGATGTGATACCGAATAGTTTCTGTGGTGTGGAAAACTATAATAGTACACAGGATCCTAATGGGATAATTAACAGTGTGAAATAGGAAGAAAGGGGCTAAAGGTGTAGGGAAAGTGGGAAGGGTAGGGGAAAGGGACTAAGGGAAAAGAAATATGAGAAAAGGAAAAAAATGGAAATAAAGTGTATGTAAATGGGGAGGGGAGGAGGGGGTGAAGGGAGGGCAGGGACAAGGGGAAAAATGAGAACCAAGACCTGTCATGTAAAGGTACAAGATCCCAGTAATGAATGTAACTGTATACCTAGAATGTACCAATAAACTCAATAAAAAGAAAAAAAGTTAAAGATGTGTTTTATGCATATGTGGGAGCCTTGGGCCTCGCATGAATATAAGAATGCACTCTACTACTGAGCTACATCTCTGCTCCAAGATGCCAGCTCTGACTACATTTATAGATTGATTCATTACAATCCAATCAGAGCACTAGTAAGTGTTTGTGCAGGCATCACAATCTTGTTCTAATATACCTATTATTAATGTAAAATGGTAGACAGAACTGAAGATCAAAGAAGAAAGTAAACTATATTAGTAAGCTTTCCGTTACTGTATAAATACCTGAGATAATTTAAGTTATAAGGAATAAAGAAACTTTGTTTTTCCTCACAGTTTCAGAGGTTTTTGTTTCTGTGGTTAGCCCTGTGGTGAGGCAGTATATCGTGGTAGGAGCTTGTAGGAGAGAAGGTTGCTCACCTCATGATAGCCAGAAAGCAGAAAGAAAGAAAAGGGATCTGGGCCCTGTATTTCCTTTGTAGGCTCCTATCCAAGTAACTAGCTTCATTCTGCCAGACCCCACCCTGCTACTCTCCCATAGTACCACAGTTTGGGGACCATGTCTCCCATACATGGGCCTTTGGGAAACACTTATTCAAGCCACCATGAATTGTACCAGCAGATACCAAAGCTTATTATAATGAAATAAAATAGGTGTGCTTTTGATGAAAGGACATGCATGGATAGAACAGCATCTTGATGGTCATTTTGTTTGACAAAGGTGATACTGATTTTATACATCTGCATATGTATATGGAAAACAAAAAGAATCTTTCTGTAATTCACACTATATGCACAAATCAAGTCCAGATGGATGAAAATTAATATTTTTGGAGATAACAAAGGAAGATGGGTTAATGATTTGGGGTATATGGAATTTTTTCTTTCTTCCTTTTGGTAGAAGTGCTGAGGATAGAACTCAAGGCCTCACGCATGATAAGCAAGTGATGTATTACTAAGCTATACTTCCAGACCCAAAGATTTCTAAAACAGGGTTTAACTATTAAAAATATTAATAGAATTTCCTTAAATATATAATTTCTGATCATTAAAATAACCACTATTGAATAAAAGAGCAATTTAAAGAACTTATGTCCAGAACAGATATTTTGCACAAAAGAGAATATGTAAATAGCCAGTGAACATAGGCAAAGATCTTCAATATGATTATGTTGTAGACAGCTAAGTTAATTAGATATCTTGTAGTCAGTTAGATAGGGCCAGCTCTCCAGGAGTCAATGTGAAAGACAATCAAGACATATTCACTGAAGTTCAGCATTAGAGAAAAAATACTGCACTCATATACTTCCCCCAGAGGTGAATAGCAGTGATTGATATTCTAAACAGGCTACCTAGGCCATTTCCTTTCCAGAAATTCCTTGTTCATTCTATTTATGATTGCGCTGTGACTTGTTTTCCCATTTCATCCCCATTTATCCAATATTACCTAGGTAACTGTACTTGTAATCTTATTGGTTGATCATGGTTTTGTCCCACCTTTTGCCTACCTTGTGATTTCCCATTGGATCTTATTAGTTGGCTTCAGTTTTGTTCCACTTTGTAGATACCTCACCTCACAGCTTTGCTCCATAAACCCCCGTAGAACACAGAACCTCAGGCAACCTACTTTTCAGGTTTTCCCTCCTGTCCCTCTTAGGCAGGACCTGTCTTTCTCTCAGTAAATACTCCTTACTCTTAACCTCCATTGTTCCTAGAATTTATTCTTTGATTTTAGAGAACACGAACTCAAGTTTTGGATATCTAGCAGGTTGGGAGTAATATTTCCCTTGTTTGGATTAATTTTGTTTATTTGCATTAGTTGGTTCCCTGTATCAATTAGTTATCAGGAAAATTAAAATTGAAATAATAAACATTTCCACACAAAATACTGTGTGGAAATGCACAAAATCTGTTTGTAATAACGATAAAAATACAGTACTAGGTATAAGCAAAATGGAAAATCAGAAATTCTCGCAAAATACTGGTAGTATTAAGTATGAAGTTGTGAAAAATTCTGAGAAACTTCTTGGCACAATATGCTATGCTGACTATACACATGCCATGCACTAGTAGATTTCACACCTACGTACACTAAATGAAAAGGCAACTAAGTAAGTGTCCACCAAAAGACAGGAGCAAGAATATATGAGATATCGTTGCTAGGAATTATCCAAAGCAGAAACAACTCTATCCATCAAAAGTTAAATTTATACATCGTATTTATATGGTAAAATGCAATGAGAAATGTAAAAGGTCAGAGAATAGATAAACTTGACTGAAAGAAGCCAGGGATGCAACTGTGTCTAGTACATAATTCTACTCATATAAAAAAGGCAGCAACATGCGATTTTATTCAGAATAATATTTGATAGCACTGAGGCAGGATTGGGATTCTGGGTGTGGCTGATGTTGTTTTCTCCAGTACTGGGGCTTGAACCCAAGGCCTTCACACTCAACTATATACCAGCCCTTTTTTCACCTTTTATTTTAAATCAGAGTGTCCCTAAATCACTAAGTAGACCAGACTGAGCTACAAACTTGTGACCCTCCTGCCTCAACTTGCCAGGAAGCTGGGATTCCAGGAGTCCTTGTCACACCTGAAGGGTTCTTTATATTGATGCAGGTAGTCATTGCATAGTTATATTTCCTTATATACAACAGATAGCTATATTTCCTAAACATACATTGACCTTGAGAGTTGTTTGTGTACATCCCTTTATTTTGTATTTCAATAAAAGCATTCATTAAAATTAAAAGATTAAAAAACGACATGAGAGTGTCAAAACTCCTACTAGGTGACCAAGACTCGTACATGTGGCAGGGTGGTGGAGATAGAATAATAAGATCAATGACAAGAGTAATGTTTGTAATTGCTATGAAAGATGAGAGGGAGAGAGGGAGAAAATACAATCACTGTTCATTTCTTTAATAATAGGTCCTAAAAGCTATCCTTGTTCATACAGAAAGAGCTCAGAAGGTGTAAGCTAGATGCACAAAATTACAGACAGATCTGTACACTGAGACAAGGGAAGCACCATCAGATTCTTAACCTCACCCTTTTTCCATTGTAAACGCAGACATTTTTAAAATTTCATATTGACTGAAAGGTCATCTTAAAGAACAACTGATTTTCAAAGTTCCATGCTTTCTTAAATTTGTTTTATCAAGAAATGAAAGGAAAATATTTAGATATCAAAATACTAATTATTAAGGCCAGATGTTCAAGATGATCTCAACCATTTGAAACCGATAGGCTGTTCCTACTATATGGTCAAGTTATATGTCAGTTTTTCTCAACGATGACCAAATCTTTGTAGAGGCAAAGCTTTTAAACAATAAAAAAATTTCAAACAATGAGCTATACCTGCTAAACATAGTAAGAAGATATGAAGACTATCAGCTGTGTGTCTCCAAATTTCCCCAATCTACCATGCACACATTTCACTTTAATTCTTTAAAAATGAGTTTGGAACTGATACAGCCAAATAATCCCTTTTATTGAATACAGTGTTTCAAAGCTATGCTTGCTGATTATAATGCGGATTAGATTTTTTTATGCTTGTATTGGCATATCAAATTAGCATTCTTATCATCTTTTAAAAGGATGTGTATTGACCTTTCCTAGCAAGGACACAATACCTGACAACACCATTTAAAGGAGAAGTTTAATTTTGCTCAGTTTCCAAGGATTCAGTCCACGGCTAGCTGGCTCCAAGGCAGAAGAAACATCATTGCAGACACTTGAGAGAGGGAAGCCACTCACTTCATGGTGGTGGTGAAGTAGAGCAGAGGAGAAATGCCAGAGAGGAATGCAGCAGGCACCGCAGAGAGAACCCAAGCTCACACCCCACGATCCACCCCGCTTCACTAGACCTGTGAGTCTTTCTCCATCCAGTCAAATCATGATTAAAAGTCGCAGATGGACTTCTTGGTTCTGGAATCAGTAAGAATGCTGCATTATCTAACTGACCTAAAGTGTTAAGACTTTTCACATTTTTTTGAGTGCTCTGTGCAATTATGGGATGTGTTCCACTTTATTTGGGAATTCTTCTACTGCTTTGCTGACTTCTTTCTTTCCCTAATTTGAAACAGAAAGACCTTTCCAGTGAATCCCATGAGTATAAAATGTGGTAAGGAGTGGGAAAAAAAAAAAACACCCTTGAAAACACCATAGTCACAAAGCCTCATTATGCCA